CTTTTGTCCCCAGTAACCCCTGGGTTCCCTTAACTACAATCTATAGGAAAAGTGCAAAGCAGTTCTCAGAAGTCAGAACCAAAGCAAGAATGCTCAGAATGCCAAGAGCCAGAGAGTTGAATGATGTGAGAGTTTACACCTGTCTACCTATCTGCTTAGGGACTGTTTTTTTTTTTTTTTTTCAGGATTCACCTAGGATTCTATTTACTTGAATTGAATTTACATGGTAGCTTTTTCTCTAACACGTGCAATTAAATTAATCTGTCCATTTAAGATCGTAAAATAGCAGGTGTCTAACATCAAAATGGTTTTGCAGCCCATAGAACAGCCCAAACAAAACCACTGATTGGGAAAGGTGCCCATAATTTTTGTGTGGGAAGATGAAGCTTCAAACAGCACAATCATTTGAGTAGTTAGTTGTTCATAAACAGGCTGCACAAGTTCAAAGAAAATGTGAAGGGTGGGATTGTTGCCACGTCTCCTTGGCTGTAACAAGAGCCCTCTATCAATAGCTCTGTGTTCTTGGGTTTCCACCACAAAGCTGAACACTGGATTCCTCATTACTTAGAGGTTACACATGACTAGAGGACCATGTGGTACATCTTCCAAAAGAGGACAGCACTGAATGGAGTGTTCAGCAGGTGACCAAACCAGAATATTAAGTAACTGTATTAATGTCAACACCAGATTCTAGGGTAGGATCATTTGGGTTTCCAGAAGTAATAATTGGGCTATTAGAGATGGTGGACTTCGGGGGTTTTCCTATTGGGCTAGCCAAACTTAATCAGGAAACAGATCCAAAAGACCACAAAGTTTAATAAGATGGTAAGTTGAAAGGGATGGAGAGGGGGAAAGCAGATAACTATGAAGGCTTCTGGAGGAAAGAGTGGACCTGTGTCTTGGGTGAGCACATGTGTAAGGTAGGAAAGAAATAGACATGAGGGGCAAGTGAGGTCAGAGGAGCTCAGGTGCAGGTGCAGGTGCAAAGATGACTGTTTCAAAGAGGACCAGGCTCAGTGTCCTGGAGAGCTCTCCTTAGTGAAGTTACCACCATGACACTAAGGCAGACCACCCCTCTCTCCTCTTCATTTTTATATCTTCCAGTTTCTTTTTAACAGTCCCTAGTGGACTAAGAATGGTTTTCAGGGTAAGACAGGGACCTTGGCAACACCAGCAAGTAGCTCAAAAGGAACCTTTAAGCACATTTCACTTTGAGACTTAATTAAAATTAAAAGTTCAATTAAAACTTGAACCATGCTTTTGTGCCTAGGATTCCTTGTCTTCCTCAGCTGGCCATGTATTTTAGTTTTCAAAATAAATAATAATTTATTTTATTGACAAAATTAGCTTTGCAGTCTCATTCATCCATTCTGTTTAGAGAAATTACCTAAATTCAGGTGGGGTGTGGGGCACAAAGTGGGAAAAGATATTTGGTAGAGCAAAGATCAGTAAACTTTCGCTGTAAAGATAGTAAATATTTTTGGCTTGGTGGCCATATGGTTTGTTGTTAACTACTCAGCTTTGCCGAGGTAGTGTGAAGGTAGACAGTAACAAAACAAATTTGTGTGTCTGTGTTTCAATAGCATTGTATTTATGAATACTAAAATTTGAAAAATTTTCTTATGTCATGAAACATTTAAAAAAATTTATTTTTCAGCCACAAATGTGAAAGCCATCCTTAGCTGGTGATGCCCCAGATTTGGCAGTTTGCCAATCTGTCTGCTGGAGGCCCCAAATATTTG